AGAACTGTTTCTTTTAACAGTGTTACCATGTTTAAGAGCAGCAATTTCTTCCTGAAATTGTTCCTTTTGACTGAAACGAATGATGTTAACCTCAGCCTTATAAACATCTTCCACAGTCAAACTCTGTCGTTCCAGAGATGATTTAAAATGTTGCAATTTTGCATTCATGGTTGCATCATCACTATACTCCAAAGACAGCTCCTTTCGTTTACGACTTAGCTGCAGTAAAAGTTTCTGCAGTTTCAAAATCCATGCAACTGCAACCTTTAGACGTTTCCAATCTGAGAAGTAATGAATCAATTTGCTTGTGGCATTTTGTTCTCTTTGCAGTGTCACAGCATTTACCTTTAATTCCCTTTTTACTTCAGGATCATCATCATCCATTGATGTCGAATCACTTGTATGGAACTGTACATCACTTGGCTTCCATAGAAAGCTAGGCCCCTTTAGCCACCGTTCATTGTTCAAAAAAGATTCCACATTCAAGCCACGTGATGCATCGTCTGCTGGATTGTCTTTAGTTGGTACATGCCTCCATTGTTGAGGCTGTGTTGCGTCTCTTATAAATGACACTCTGTTAGCGACAAATGTATGGAACCGTTTGTTCTCGTTCTTTATGTAATTGAGAACAGTTGTACTGTCGCTCCAAAAAACAGAATCCTCCAATGGAAGTTGCAACATCTTCTTTAACATGATGTCCATCTTCACAGCCAAGACAGCTGCTGTAAGTTCTAAACGTGGTATGGTCACATGTTTCAATGGTGTTACTCTGGACTTACCCATCAAAAATGACACATGAACCTTGTCTGCACCGTTAAGCATCTTCAGATAGGAAACTGTGCCATACCCAGTTTCACATGCATCTGCAAAGTGGTGTAAACAAGCATGACTGGGCAGTCCATAATCCACAGGTTTAAAACATCTGTTTACCTGAAATTCTGCAACCTTGTCCAACTCAACAATCCAATGAGTCCATTGCTTCTGGAAGGCAGATGGTATGGTATCATCCCAGCCCAATGTCTTTCTGCACAACTCCTGCAAGATGACTTTTGCGGGCAGAATAACAGGTGCAAGGAAACCCAAAGGATCATACACCGAGCTTACCATAGACAGAATGCCTCGTCTTGTACAAGGTTGAGTTTTCAAGGAAATCTTGAATTGAAAAGTGTCAGCATCCACACTCCACTGAAGACCTAATGCTCTTTCAACTGGCAACTTGTCTCGATCCAAATCCAACTGCTGCATATCCTTGGCCCGATTTTCCTGAGAGATCGATTGTAACACCTCCCGGCTATTACTGATCCACTTTGTCAAACGAAAACCTCCTTTCTGACAAAGACAAGTGAGATCTTTTGCCATAGATATGGCCTTCTCTTCACAAGAGACACTCTTCAAACAATCATCCACATAGAAGTTATTGTTGATCGTTTCAATTACCTCTAATGGAAAGTCACCTTCACTGTCCTTTGCGGTTTGCTTTAAAGCAAAGGATGCACAACTCGGAGAGGACACTGCACCAAAAAGATGAACTTTCATCCTGTAAGTAATGGGTTCCTTATTCAGTTCTCCACCAGGCCACCACAAGAAACGAAGAAAATCTACATCTTCTGCTGCAACTCTGACTTGATGAAACATCGCTTCTATGTCAGCCATAAAGGCTACTGGCTCCTGTCTAAATTTCAGTAAAACTCCAACCAGAGAACTGGTAAGATTAGGACCTTGCAATAAGTTATCATTAAGTGATGTTCCTTTATATGCTGCCCCACAGTCAAAAACCACTCTCAATGATCCCTTTTTAGGATGAAACACCCCGTGATGAGGGATGTACCAAACTTTACCATCCACTCGATCAAGTTGGCTATCAGGTACCTTCTCAGCATAGCCCTTGTGTATGACACCTTCAAGAAAGTGAGTATACTTCTCATGAAATTCTTGATTTATTTCCAATTTCCTTTTTAAACCAAGCAACCGTTGCTTAGCAACACCAAGATTATTTGGTAATGTGACATCAGACTTAAATGGTAATCTTAAGCTGTAATGTCCATCCTGATGCTTGACTGAACTGTTCATTATACTCATGAACCGAATATCTTCCCTTGACATTTCCTTTTCATCAACAGTCTTCTCACTGAAATCATGATTAAACTGGTTGTTAAGCAGCTCCTCCAATCTAACAACAGAAATTCGGTTAACAGTAACATCAGAATGGCCAACTTCATTCCTATGTTCACTGTTTCCTTCCACAGTCCCATTAACAACCCACCCCAATAGGGTCTTAATGGCAAAAGGCCCATTACCTTGACTGTTAATAATCTTGTGTGGTTCCATCACATTAGCTGCATTAATTCCAATCAGTAAATCAACCTCTGCTTGAATGCAAGGTATCTTCACTTTATCCAGGTATGACCACTTGGATAACTCCTCTTGAGTTATGATGTTCTGAGAACTCACAGGCATTTTCTGTTGTGTGTAAACAGCAGGAAGTGGAAAGAAATTATTAGTGTTAAGACCACTGATTTCCAGACCATCAATAACACTGCAAGACACAGACTTTTCCTGACCCATAGTACGAAGCAGAATATTAATCTTCTTTCCATTCAAATTCAGCTCCTCTTGCAAGTGTTCAGAACAGAAAGTGGCCGAACTTCCTGGGTCCAAAAAAGCATATGTCTGCATCACCTTGTTACTTTTAATGGCCTTGACTTGAACTGGTATGATTGACATTAAAGTTCTTTCAGTCCCGGCCCCTGTGTGACCACAAGTTTGCACAGATGTATCTTTGCGCTTTTCTTCAGCCTGCTTCAGTATTACCTCTTTGCCATAAATATGCAGGATTGTGGGGTGTGTTTCTCCACAAATGTCACATTTCAGTCGATTCTCGCATCTTTTACTTTTATGCCCAGTTTTTAAACAGCCAAAACAAATTCCCTTGGCCTTCAGGAATTCAATCTTGTCACGTTGTGTTCTTTTCTTTAATGCAAAGCACCTTTCCAATAAATGCTGATTTTTGCAAAACAAACAGTCTCCATTAGACTTAGACACATGACAAGATTTTGGTTGTGCTAAAGCATCACTGAACTTCTTTGCTGGAATAGAAGTTGAAATGTCAGTAGCAAAACTACTTCTTGTAAAGGGCTTGTGTGGTTGAACCTTAAGTTTACTTGCACCATGCTTGTCTTGAATGTCACCAAAAACAGGATCAGATGCCATTTTAACCTGTTTTTCAATAAATTCAACAATGTCACAGAACTTTGGCCTGCCATGAACAGACTCCATTATCTGACAGGCTTTAGCTCTCCATTGCTCCCTCAATTTGTAAGGCAGCTTCATAACCACTGATTTCATGTTGCTAGGCATGTTAAGTTCTTGCATATATGAGAGTTCATCCATTGTATTACAACAAGTACGCAAAAACAAAGCATAAGCCTGCAATCCTTGCACATCTTCAGCCTTTAAAGTAGGCCACCCCAGGGCTTTCTCCATATAGGCTGTAGATAACTTAAACTCATTACCAAAATGTTCCTTCAACAACTTCTTGGCCATTGCATAGCCCTTTTCTGAAGACATATATTGGCAACTGCGAACAAGATCTTTAGGCTGCCCTTTTGTGAACTGCTCAAGGAAATACAACTGATCCTTTAAATTGGTTGTTTTTTGCTCAATGCCATGCTCAAATGCTCTAATGAATGGAATATACTGCAATGGGTCACCATCAAATGTTGGAATTTCCTTCTTTGGTAGAATACGAGGATTTGCTTGCTGTTGAACAAGATGCGCTGTTAATTCCTCCTGTTTTTTCAGAATTTCAAGCAAAGGATCACCCTGTGCAGGTAAGATATTTGTAGCATGCTGAATTATGGAGTCATGATGTGTTTGAGCAGAACAGTTACCATTAGCATGTTCCGATGTTTGTTGATCAATCCATCCAATCCTTTGATCCTGTATTGCAGCTTGAGATGCAGAAACACCAGTGTATCCATCCAAATCCAGTGGCATTGAATTTATTGGGACATAGTCATTTGCATTGGGGTTTAAATATGTTGTTTGAGAAGAATAATTTGCAGTGACCACAACCTTTTCAATCTTCTTTGAAGATGAACTGCTTGAACATTTACTTTGTTGATCAAATTTCTGCAACACACTGATCCTTGCTGTGGAAGCTGCTATTTGAGCATCCAAGTCCAACTGCTCTTTTTTCCTTCTCAGTTCTTCCTCCTGAACTTCAATATCATGTTTAGCCTTTAATGCAGCAGCACGTGCCATGAGTGCGGCCTTTTCTGCCTCTGCTTGAATACAGGCAGATGATATGGATGAACTACTGCTGCTGCGTGCACTGCATTTACTGCGTTTTGAGGTAGCATGTGATACATTTGACACACTATCTCCAGGACCAACATCACTCTCTGGATTTTCCACTTCAGATATTTTGTGACCTTCTGATTTATCTGATAACCATTTATTTGTTCGTTCCAAAAACTCATTGTTTGATATCATTTTTGCTTTAAACCAGATATCATGTTTTTCACACTCTTCAACCGGTAAAATAACCAAAAGTGACTCATGAGTGTCTTTTGCCTCTGAACACAACCTCTTAAAATCCTCAAAGACCAAACGTACCTCAGGTTTGTATTCATTGTCATCACATATTAGTTTGTTAATTGACTCTTTTAGCTTTTGTGCTTTGTTTAGCTTTGCTTTTCTTAACTTCTGTAAAGTGTCTAGTTTTTCAACTAAAGCTTTAGCTGTTAATTTAACTGGTCTTTTTTCCCTTTCAGGCTCATTTTCAACAGAAGTTAAACCTTGATCAGTCACATCCACCATTTCAACATTCAAATTGATTTCATTTTCCATTTTGCAAATTGTAAAACCCAATAAACACACATAAGAAAAGTTCAGTCAGTCATGGGCAACCAATGCATTGGATTTACGCTTTAAACCTTATTGTGTGCACACAGAGTTTCCATATGGCCATAATGATGATGTTGTTGCAACAAACATACCTATTGTGCTGTTTATCAAACGCGAAGAGATGAACGCAGCGTAGATTCACCTTAATGCAGGAAACCAGAAGAAAGCCGATCCAAACGAACTCACTCAGATGCTGAAGAAACGCTGTCCTCACGTGCAGCAAATGAAGCCTTGATCCAAACGAACGTCGCTGTCCTTGTCTGTAGAAACACCATGCCTTGCTGTCCACTCCAGCGGCGTCTCAATTGTCCCACGAAGCAAAGTTTTTGACTTTTTTTGTAGCGGCTTACCAATGCCGCTATTGTTGGTAGAGTGAGCAAGTTTTTAACGCGTAAAAAGTCAGAGTTCGTAAGCAAATAGATGCAAATAAAAACATATTTATTGTCCAATCAACTTCCAATCAACATCATTACTCAATCGCTTTCCTTTATCTAAAAGCACACTTCTCTGTTACCTTCAATTATGAGATGATACCATACGATACGGTCAAAAACTGTGTGCTTCCTACCAACACTGTCTTCCTCCATGCAGTGAAGCCACAGTTATATAGCCTCCTACTGACACCTTGTGGCCAATAGCCAAAATACAATGTATGGCTCCTACAGTATACAATACTTGAAGAAATGTACATCGTAAACTTAATATACTTCTTTGCGTGATGGATATCTTATTGTTACTCCCCTTTTACGCAAACATTATGGTTTGTTCTTTTGCAATTTAAAACGTTATTTCACTGTACTTACGCGGTACCTTTCATGCTAAATATCTGGTTGTTACCCCCTTATTACCCGAGCATTACAGTTTGTTCCCTTATACTTACGTAAACGTTATTTATACTTACACTATAGGTACAGAAAAGTACACCGTTATTTCACTGTACTTACGCGGTAATTTTCGTGATGAACATCTGGTTGTTACCCCCTTTTTAACCAAGCATTACGGTTTGTTCCCTTATACCTACACATACGTTCATTATACTTACACAGTACGTACAGAAAAGTACACTGTAATTTCACTGTACTTACGCGGTACTTTGCGGGTTGTAAAAGAAAGCGTTACCCACAATTCTGAACAATATCTAAAGCATTAACGTCAGACATCCCTTAGACTGATTAGAGCTGACTCCAGACCTGTGAAACGGATCAACAATCAAATAGAACACACACACAAAGTATAATCTGTTTCTTATCCACGGTTGAGTGTATTCTCAGCTTTCTTTATCAAAACTGGTTAAAAACCGGTATCATCTACATTCAGGCAGTTATAATTCCTTACTACACAAAGTCTATCTTGAATAAAAAGTAGAATCACTTTAAAAGATTTAACCGTAAAAATAGCAAATCACTTTAGACATTTTAGACAGTATTAACTCATAGAAATAACAATAAAAACAGTTGCTTCAGCACTCAGTTCCACTCAAGGTCTCCGTGACTTAATAATTCTGACCTAGTTGGGTGGCTTCTGAAAATAGCTATAAAGAGACTGGCACATGCACTGAACATTCTTATATTAAGCAATGTTTTAACTTACTTTTAACTATTGTGAGGCTCCATAATGAAGACTAACGGATCGACTCGACGGAGAACTTCTGCTTTCACTTTGTTTGTAATTGTGAAGCCAGAATGGTGACGTCACAATACGCACAGTGTTAGATTCGGTTAGACACAGTAAAGGTAGAGTTTTTAGAGCTGTAATCTGCAAGCAATTTTGGTGAATTAGAGGGAGGAATCGATAAAACATTTATTTTTTTAATGCACATACCCAAATGTTTTGGTTTGATGTTGAATATCTTATATTTAAACTTACAAAATTAGAGATTCAGTTTTCCTGTAAAGATATTTTTGATATACAATAATAATAACAAAACTTTGGAGTAAAATTTGTTCATTAATTTAATGATTATATATAAGAAGAACCATGTACACAAACAGAATGGTCTAATGATAAACCTAACATTTATTTGTTTAAAATTAATCTTAAGCATTGTATCGCCACCCCAAATACTTTAAAAATAAAAAGTTATAAGTATGTATGCAATTTTGGAATCCTTTCCTTTGCAATTTCTTTGTAATATATATATATATATATATATATATATATATATATATATATATATATATATATATATATATATATATATATATATATTCCCTGTAATTTTATATATAAGTTTTTTATTTTTATTCTCTAGTGATTTGGTCCTTTGATGTGAAAAAGATTGTAAGCATTGTAGTGCTCACTTTTTGTATGCTATTGTTCTTGTTATGCAATAAAATGTAAAGTAAGGCATTCACCTTCATTTAAAAATAAAAACAAAGGTTCAGTTAGCCAAACATAGTATATTGATCAGCGCTTGAAACAATCAAGGTTTCTCAAAAGGTTTGAAGATTGCAATAGTTGCCACTAGAGGGCGTTGAAGCGGCATATCATGTAAACACACACATAAACAAATGGGATCAAACTCTGATCGTCCTAAAAAAGTACAAACACAGATGAAATCAAATGTATTTAAATCCAAAAAGACTGAAGCAATCTACAGATTAACTTTTACATTTTGATCATTTCGATTGTCCGTCGCTTGACGATATTTGAAGGGGGAGGTATTTAAAATATTGGAAAAAAAAACTCTTTGGTGTTGAATGTACCAGTCTGTACTTTTAATAAATGTCCAGCAGGTGGGGCCACATACTTTTCTAAAACAGATCTTACCGTAAAACATACCTTTAATGTAAAAAAAAAATTTTTTTTTATAATATTTAATAAATAGTCTGTAACCCGATATGAGATTCGTGATTTGGAGAACAGATTAATGGATATAAACATGTCATTTGACCCAGACATGTCAAAGAAAGCTTTTGGTTTAGGAAACTCTCTCTCTCACGCGCGCGGGTTCGTGTGTGTGTGTGTGTGTGTGTGTGTGTATGTCTCCTCTGCGCGCGACAGAGCATCTTTTTGACTCTCACTGATTCTGCTGTTTATTCAGGAATTTAATCGCATAGGGGTAAGACAACAGCCTTCATCATGTGTTTGCACATGTCAACAAAATATAATTGATTTATTAGGACAAAACACAATAAACCGAATAAATAAACGGGGAAATTTGTATTAATCTGAGAGCTACTGTAATTAAACTTGAGAGCTTTATAACATGACCATGAACAGGCTGTCAATTCATTCTTTAGGCCTTAAAAGTAAAAAAAAAAAAAAAAATTGATCAGGTTTTTGTTTATCTTTTCTTTTTTAAGAATAAAAAAAAGTGTAAGAAAGGCTTAACATTGTAATATATTACTTTTTCTACCCAACACTGACTGCAGATCATGTTTAGTTCACAATTGGGCAACTGCTTTAGTTCTCGTAGTTGTTTTGAGATTAAATGCTGAATGACAGATTTGATCTACTAATGAAAATTCACACTGGATGCTGTGAGCCTGTTTCTGTTATATATTAGATTGTTTTATTCCTCTGTCACAATAACAGTCATGTGAAAGCAGGGAAGGGCAAAAATACATTAAAATGTATTAAAATAAAATACTAAATACCTCAGCTTTAAGTGTATCAAAATAAACACCAAAATACAGCAGCGACAACACGCATCAAAATAAAAATACTGTATTTTTAATTTTAAAATTAAAGTAAAATTGCCATCATCTCCGTGCAATAATCATTCAACATCTGAACAGTCTTATATGATAAAGGCTGAAATATGAAGAGTTCAACTCAATAATTTGATCACAGAATTAAAAAAATATATATGTTTTTTGCTATTGAACTCTTCAGTGCTCAAAGTAAAAACACAATTTCTGTAAACAAATAAAACCTCCAGATTTTTTCAGCACATTTCTAATAGTTTCAATAACTCATTTCTAATAATTGATTTATTTTATCTTTGCCATGATGACAGTAAATAATATTTGACTAGATATTTTTCAAGACACTTCTATACAGCTTAAAGTGACATTTAAAGGCTAAACTAGGTTAATTAGGTTAACTAATTGTCCTCATTTGTAAGTCGCTTTGGATAAAAGCGTCTGCTAAATGACTAAATGTAAATGTAAATGTAAACTTGACAGGTTAGGGTAATAAGGCAAGTTATTGTATAACGATGGTTTGTTCTGTAGACTATCAAAATATATATAGCTTAAAGGGGCTAATAATTTTGTCCTTAAAATGGTTTTTAGAAACATTAAAAATTAAGTTTTTAGTTTAAAAAGTTAAAAACTGCCTTTATTCTAGTCGAAATAAAACAAATAGGACTTTCTCCAGAAGAAAAAATATTATCAGACATACTGTGAAAATTTCCTTGCTCTGTTAAACATCATTTGGGAAATATAAAAAAAAAAATCAAAATCAAAGGGGGTCTTATAATTCAGACTGTGTGCCTTTCTGCTGCTGTATAACCCGAGTCAGGTGTTTTTGAGCTGTCTCTGTATGAGGATCATTATCATTGTCTATAAAGTGACTTTGATGTCCCACAATATTGAATCAGTCCTATATCAATAATGCAATTCAGATGTTTTAATAGGATTGGTTAAACCATTACACACATGCAGGTAGAATTATATGTGTTTTGAAATATGTTTTTGTCCATTTTGCCATACTTTTCATTAAATGGATGTGGTTTTGCCATGTCCATCACTGCTCAGCCAACTTCAGCGAGTTAAAAAAGTAGGTAAATTAAATTAAAAAAGATTTTTAAAATATTCTTATTGTCTTCAACAAGTTATTTGACAAAATAAGTCATCTTAATAACTTTTATTTTGTTTATATAATATTATTATTCATTTTTCTTGTGTCGTTGAAATTGCTGTTCACCCTGTCCTGATGTAGTAAATGCCCCTTTAAGAGGCTCGCTGATGTACTCTGGCATCCCCGTGCTCATTTTGCCTTTCTTCAGAGGAGGTTAAAACATCTGATGTACACAGTAACTTTATATTTAAAAAATTCTGAAATCTAAAATACAGCTTTTAAACTGTGTACAAAGAGTTTAAACAGAGGAAAATCTTTGCCAGCTGCAGGTACAGCGTGCGTTGAATAAATGCTATCTTTAGCAAAAAATGTCCTCCCTGTCATTGTCCACCCTGTCACAAATCCTTCCATGACTAGGTGGACATATGTGTTGTTATTGACACTTTATGTATTTATTTAATAATATATTGTTAATTAGTTCATGTTTTTATGTTACAACACTTATACACACACATACTGCACCAGTTGATGCGATACATGAGTGGACAATACAAACCTTTCGGCAATATCTGTCTCAGTCCATTTATAGGATATCCCTTTAAAGTCTATATTATGGAGCTCATTGACTGCTAGAAATAAAAGCACAGCCCTAAATATTTGTACATATATGTGAACATCTGTAATCTAATTATTTACTTTATTCTGAATTTTGTTTTTAATTTGAAGGACAATATTTGTTTTTTTTTCCCATGAATTTGCATATTAATAAACCCTAACTGATAACAGAAGAGGCGGCATGGTGGCTCACTGGTTTGCAGTAGTTGGTGAAAACAAGTTGAATTCTTGAAAACTTTTACAACTCTTAAATATAAATCCTTTAATATTTCTTGTTGTACCTGTTGTTTTTCAAATGTTCCTCCATATTTAGTTCACTAAATAAAGCCTTTGTCCACTCTGTCATGCCAATGTCCACCCTGTCATCTTGTTTTCCACCTTCATGTTCAACTATTTTATTTTTCAACTATTTTTTGTTTTATTTTCATAAACCAATTATTTCAAACCTCCGCAAAACATCTTGTGTGTTTCTTAATTAACAAATAAGGGCCAGTTAATATTGTTTAAAAGTTTGACAAAATAATTTAGATGTTGAGTTTTATTTTGAAAAGAATGTGCAACAATTGCATATTATATTGGGAAATAATGTTTTGTCCAATATTTAATTTATATAAATAAATTCTAAATAATTTATAAAAACAACTATGTGGTTAAATAAAAATATCAAAAATTTTTTACCTTATACCTCAAAGGCACTTTATATTGATAATGACCCATCTAATGAATGAGTACTAGTATCTACTAAACTGAACTAGCGTCTAATGAAGAAGCACTAGTATATATATTTTAAAAGCACTAGTATCTAAAGAATAGGCAATTGTGTGCAATGGATAAGTACTATTATTTAATGGAAAAGGTACTAGTATCTAAAAATAAGTACTAGTAACATGAAAATAGATTCTAGTATTGGTTATGGATTTAATGTTAAACGGCTTGACATACTTTGCTTTTGTTGTGGGCTTCAGAAATGTTTGGCATCAAGAGAAATGCACAGAAGAAATACTTGTTCAGAAAAACTATTTAAAGCAGGAAATTGTTAAACAGACACTTAATGTTGGATAAGCATGTTAAACAATTTGCATTTAAATAATTACAGATCATTAATTTGAAATATTGTAGAGAATTAAATGCTCAAGAAAATGATTCTCTTTGTCGACCTCTGCTGACACATTTTAATCACAACATCTCTTCTGTAGTCACAATCTTGATCTTGATTTTAAACCTTGTAAAACCAAGATTTCTCAATAATATTATTTTTCCAAAATAATGAACAAAGCTGTCTGTGCTGCACAACACATTTCATATTTACACAATGTCAACATGACTTACTGATTACAATAGGAGTGCTTTAGTTTTGTCATTTTCAAATCCTCTTTTTCACTATAATCAATATCTGGACAATCTGAAACAATATAATGACGTCATTTTCATTTTACTGGTCATTGCATATAACAACAAGCCAGTGTTGTGAAGTCAGTGTGAGTCTGTGTGTCTTCAGTGTGTGTTGATTGTGTGTCTGTGACGTTTCTCCTTATTCACCATCAGCAGATCCAGAGCAAACTAAACACTGAGTGCTGCAATAAAACACACACACACACACACACACACACACACACACACACACACACACACACACACACACACACACACACACACACACTTGAAGTCAGAATCATTAGCCCCCCACCCCCTTTGAATTTTTTTTCTTTTTTTTCTATTGTTTATTTTATTTCAACAAGAATAAAAGCAGTTTAAAAAATATTTGACTTGAATATGTTCTTAAAGTTTGAAAACCTCTGGTTTAAAGCACAGACTAAAGAGAAGCTGAATTATTATCAGATATTTTCCATTTACACAGATGAGGCCTGTAACTGAACTTGAAAAAACAATAGCTGCGTCCCAAATCGCATACTTATGCACTATTCTACGCCATTTTGTAGTATAAATAGTGTAAGTAGTGTGTTCACACTAAAAACTCTAAAAAAATTAAGTGCACTTTAATTACCCGGATGATGCACTCATTCAGCCGCTAAAATGAAGTGTGTAATGATGGACACTTCACGCACTCAACGACCGCAGGTTTGCTCACATAGCGGAGGGGCGGAGCTATCGGACGCACATGTTGGATTACTTTATTATTTTGGATGGTAAAAGCAAAATTCTCCTACGAGAGTGATTATAGCGCCTCCCGATGGTGAATGCGGCAATACTCACGACAGGTATTATTTGATAATTCGGTCGTTTATTTCACTGATTTGGCAACCGTCAAACATCATCAGGGAAACGGTTTGAATTTCCACTTAGTAAAAAAACATAAGTGTGCCATTTGGGACGACACTACATACATATACTATCCTGTTGAGTGTGTAAGTGCATAAGTACATAGTGCATGAGTGCATAGTGTATAGTGTGCCATTTGGGATGCAGCTATACTCACAAGTGTGTAATGTTTCCAGTTTATTATGTGGGTCATCCTTCAAATCAGAGAGCAGCTTCTTTGTGGAGTTTGATAGATTATTCCAGGACAGATTCAGATCTCTCAGGTGTTCAGGGTTTGATCTCAGAGCTGAAGCCAAAACAGCACAACCTTCATCTGTAAGACCACAATTCTTTAACCTGTAGAGAACAAAGACCATCCCATTCCTCCTTCAGAAATTTGTTCATTTTTATCATGGCTTATTTCATACAAATAGACAAAAAGAAATTAAACTATGAAGAGCATAGTAGGTGCAGACAGAGAAGCAACACTTTACTGATACTTTACACTGTTTCACATGTGAGAGCCAAAGATGATCTTACTCCAGTTTCTCCAGTTTACAGTGAGGATCCTCCAGTATAGCAGAGAGAAGAGTCACTGAATCTCCTAGATTATTCGTAGACAGATCCAGATCTCTCAGGTGTTCAGGGTTTGATCTCAGAGCTGAGGCCAAAGCAGCACAACCTTCATCTGTGAGACCACAATAACTCAACCTGTAGAGAACAATGACACACTCTTCACTCTCACATCACATCAGTTTACCAGAGAATCAGTTATTAATGAGAAAGTAAAACTTCACTGCAGATTATAAGATAAATATATATTTGTGTCTGTGCAATGAATGAATGTAGTAATCTTCTATGTCCTGTGCTAAATCATTTTAATAATGACACTGTTTACACTATCAGCATTGCTGAATTAAATCTTTATCAATATGTACACTATCAGTGAAATGTTTGAGATAATTATGATGTTTTAGTTTTTAAAAGAAGTCTCATCAGCTCCTCAAGACTGCTTTTATCCCATCAAAAATACTGAAATTGACACGTTTTTTTACGGTACTGTGCAAAGGTACAGTGGCAGTCTTGGCCATTTGTATTTTCACAAAAAAGGTTTAAAGTCAGTTATCTCTATGTTTTCTGTAGGATGTCAGTTTGAAATATCAATTTACATGTCCTAACATTATTTCCGTCATTGTAATTCTAGAGTGAGATTTTTGTCTGGCAACAGTCAGTGCTCCATACAGAGATCTGATCTGATCATCATCTGTCTGGAGTGACATGAAGAAACAGAACAAACTGAGACAAACTCAATCCAGAAGAACTCTGGAAACATCTCGAGGAAGCTTCAAAAAACCTTCTTGCAGAGCTCCATGAAAGACAATGGGCAAGTGCACCAAGTGTTTTAAATGCAAAGTGTACTCACACCACGGGCCCTATCACACACCCGGCGCAATGTGGCGCAAGATGCGGTGCAATACTTGTTTGCTAGTTTCAGCCTGGCGCAAGAGTCGTTTTGAGGCGTTAAGCCATGCTCTTTAAATTGCAAATGAATTTGCGCTCATATGTGCGTCTATAGGCGTTCTGGTCTAAAAAGGAAGGCGTTCTGAGGCGCACTGCTCGTGCGTTGCTATTTTGAGAAACTATAATAGATTTTTCATTAGACCAAAACATACCCGGTCTAAGCTCCGTTGCGCCTCGCTAACACACTGCTTAATAGTCTACACACAACATGTAGAGCAATAAGCAAATATCTTTACATATGAAAAAATTAAAATATTAAGCATAGAGAATAAATTAATTATTTATAGGCTAATTGATGTCTGTGCGTAAAGGTTTCCCTATCCACGAGAGCGAAAGTGAAAGTAAATCGATTATCCCTCATTCTTCACACGCGGTACATGCTCTGTTTAACTGTTTTCTTTAAAATAAAATAAAAACTATTAACTGTTAACTGTTTGCTTTTGAAATGCTCAGTTTTTCCACTTCCACTTACTTTATGTCCTGTAAATAGCAAACGCGCTTATGGCGCAACGCAGCTGGCTCTTAAAGGGAATGGGAGATGAGACTCTGATTGGTTTATTCTCAAAACACACCTATAACTCGTTAAGAAAATAAACTCAACCCTTTTTAGACCATGCGCCATGGCGCAAAGCGGATTTTCCCGTCCTTAAATTAGCAAAAACGCGTTCTGACACACACTGAAACATTTGTGCCCTGCGCTTTCCGTTTTGCGCATGGACCGTCAAAATAGAGCCCCACATGTTGACTTAATTTAGTTAATATAAGTTCATTGATAAAAAAAAATGTATTTCTGCATTATTTTTGAAATCATCCTCATTTTATAGCATTTTTACACAAGTGCCTAAAACTTTGACTGGAACTTTTGTGCTGGAGCTTTGCAGATTTTTTGAAGCATCTTCAAGATGTTGTCAGAGTTCTTGTGGATTGAGTTTCTCTCAGTTTGTTTGGTTTCTTTATGTCACTCCAGACAGACTGAATGATGATCAGATCTGGTCTCTGTGTGTGTGGAGCACTGGCCATTCTCAGACTCCTTGTGCAGAAATAATGCTTGGAAATGTAAGTTGATATTTCAAACTGACATCCTACAGAAAACATAGAGATAACTGACTTTAAACCTTTTTTGGTGAAAATACTAGTGGCTTCAGACTTTTGCATAGTACTGTATATATTTAGTTTATATTATTATTACAGAGGGCGACGCAGTGGAAGGTCGCTGGGTCGAACCTCGGCTCAGTTGGCGTTACTGTGTGGAGTTTGCATGTTCTCCCTGTGTTCGCGTGGGTTTCCTCCGGGTGCTCCGGTTTCCCCCCCCATCCAAAGACACAGGTGAATTGGGTAGGCTAAATTGTATGTGTGTGTGTGTGTGTGTGTGTGTGTGTGTGTGTGTGTGTGTGTGTGTGTGTGTGTGGATGTTTCCCAGAGACGGGTTGCGGCTGGAAGGGCATCTGCTGCATAAAAAACGTGCTGGATAAGTTGGCGGTTATTCCACTGTGGTGCCCCGGATTAATAAAAGGGACTAAGCCGACAAGAAAATCATGACAAAGATAACATAAATCAGTTATTAGAAATTAGTTATTAAAACTAGTATAATTAGAAATGTGCTGAAAAAAATCTGCTCTCCGTTAAACAGAAATTGGGAAAAAAATAAACAGGGGGCGAATAATTCAGGGGGGCTAATAATTCTGACTTACTGTATATATATTTTAAATATTAAAAGTGTTTTTGACTGGTATTGTATGCTTATTTAATAATGTGTCAGTGAGAGCTGATATATTATTAAAGATTCACATTATTTGATTCTGTGTGATTATTAAATTGCAAAAGAATGTCTTTAGCCCTATCATGTTGATGTGTTTTATAACATCTCTTTTTTACGAGGTGGGTTGTTAGCCCAACACTCAACCCCCAACCTGTACATACACTACGGACAATGTAGTTTACCCAACTCATTGATAGCGCATGTGCTTGGACTGTGGGGGAAACAGGAGCACCCGGACGAAACCCATGGCAACACGGGGAAAACATGCAAACGTCACACAGAAATGCCAACTGACCCAGCCAGGGCATGAACCAGTGACCTTCTTGCTGTGAGGCGACATCACTACCCACTGCGCCACCGTGCCGATAAAACAAACAAAAACACCTTGCATCTACTTTATAATGTGTTTCACATGTGAGAGTCAGATATGATCTTACTTAATTTTCTCCAGTTTACAGCGAGGATCCTCCAGTACAGCAGAGAGAAGAGTCACTGAATCTCCTAGATTATTCACAGACAGATTCAGACCTCTCAGGTGTTCAGGGTTTGATCTCAGAGCTGAAGCCAAAGCAGCACAACCTTCTTCCGCAAGACCACAATTACTCAACCTGTAGAGAGCAATGACACACTCTTCACTCTCTCATCACATCAGTTAAACACTAAATCTATTATTAAAGTACAAACTAATGACACAAATCAACATATTTAATAAACTAAAATGTCACAAATGACAAAACATGATCAGAACACACCAATCTTTCAATCCACATAATCAGCTATTTGTTGTAAATAACACAATGAATATTTATTTGTATGTGTGCAGTGCATGCACTAAACTTATTTGTCAGTTGTCTCCCATTGTTTAAATGATTTTCCATATAACACTGTTCCATATCTCACTGTTAACATTACTAAAATGTGCTGTGCTGTTTATTTCAGTAGTAATATGAACATGTTTAGTGAAAACTGTGGGATAATTAAGGTTTTTATGATTTTAAAAACTGTTGCCTCCACGACACGGATAAGCAGCAGATAATGAATGATAGAATGGATGGATTTACTTTAAACTGTTTCACATGTGAGAGTCAATTATTTACCCCAGTTTCTCCAGTTTACAGCGAGGATCCTCCAGTACAGCAGAGAGAAGAGTCACTGAATCTCCCAGATTACTCCAAGACAGATCCAGATGTTTCAGGTGTTCAGGGTTTGATCTCAGAGCTGAAGCCAAAGCAGCACAACCTTCATCTGTGAGACCACAATCTCTCAACCTGTAGAGAACAATGACACACTCTTCACTCTCTCACATCACATCAGTTCAGTGAATCTATTATTAAAGTGTAATTACAAACTAAAAGCACAAATGAACATATCTGATGGATCATTAGTCTGAGGTCTAAAATGTCACAGAGAACAAAACATGATCATTTGAGGAAAGTTTTATTTAAGCAAGGAAAACATCTAATCAGTGTAGATAAGATTATAACAAAATCATGAAATAATGACGCTGTTCTAACTTTTCACATTTCTAAATGTCCTGCTCTGTTTATATCAGTAGAAATATGAACACGATCAATGAAAACTTTGAGATAATTAAGATTTTTAATGTTTTTGACAAAAGTTTCCTCAGCTCAATAATGAAGTGTTATCTAATCAAAACAAAACAAAAAAACTTGAATATTGTGGAATATTATTACAATGTAAACATTTATTGTTATTATTATCATGATTATTATATCTTCTTCTTTTTACTTTTTGGCTAAAAAAATATTTTTATTTGTGATTACACATTAAATTGATTTAACCCAACTGTGAAATAAAGATTTACATTTACATTTTATTTTGGATTTCAAGTATATCCTGTTATTTTTGAAAATTAAAAAAAACTATTATTTTTCACAAAATGCTTTCAGAATTGACATTAAAGATTGTAAAGATTTAAAATCTTCATGATCCTAAAATTTGACTGAGAGTGAATGTGTTGTTTATTGTGAGAGCTGAGATTAATATTAGTTAAAAGAAAAAGAAAACCTCAAATAATTCTATACTATGTAATTAGTAAATTGCAAAGGAAAGCCAAGCAAACATTCCTTCTACTTTGCTTTATAAAATGTCTTTATATTATCTACTTTATATTGTGTTTCATGTGGGAGTCAAATATGATCTTACAACAGTGTTTCCAGTTTACAGTGAGGATCCTCCAGTACAGCAGAGAGAAGAGTCACTGAATCTCCTAGTCTATTCCAGGACAGATCCAGCACTCTCAGGTGTTCAGGGTTTGATCTCAGAGCTGAAGCCAAAGCAGCAGAATCTTTACTTGTAAGACCACAATCACTCAACCTGTAAAGAACAATGACACACTCACAAACTTAAGCACAAATTAATGTGGTAATCTTCTTTGTACTGTGCTAAATCGTTTTAATAATGACACGGTTTACACTATCAGTATTGCTGAATTAAATGTTTATCAATATGTACTATGTACTATTATGTACTATCAGTGAATGTTTGAGATAATTATGATGTTTTAGTTTTTAAAAGAAGTTTCTTCAGCTCCTCAAGACTGCTTTTATCCCATCAAAAATACTGAAAAAGACACATTTTTTTTACTTTATATTTTGTTTATGTTTTTATCACCTAATCATTACACAAAAATGTATGAAGAAAAAAACACGTTTTGGAAAAAAATGAACGCATATAATCATTTTTTTAAAAATATTGAATAATTTTACTGGTAACGTATGAATTATTGATTCGTTTGTGAGAACTGATTTTTTAAGATTCACATTATTGTGAATTATTATCCTGCTTTGTTTTAAAATTTACAGCAAAAACACACTTATGGCAACAACAAAACCAGTTTGCATCTTTTTTATATTGACTTTCATGTGTGAGAGTCAGATATAATCTTACCACAGTGTTTCCAGTTTACAGTGTGGATCCTCCAGTACACCAGAGAGAAGACTCACTGAATCTCCTAGTTTATTCCCAGACAGATACAGATCCCTCAGGTGTTCGGGGTTTGATCTCAGAGCTGAAGCCAAAGCAGCACAACCTTCATCTGTGAGACCACAATAACTCAACCTGTAGAGAACAATGACACTCTTCACTCTCACATCACATCAGTTAGGGACAGACCAAGCTGATGTCAAATCAGTAGAATCAATGAAATCCAACTGTGTTGTTGCCTCACATTGCGTCTGCACCAAAAAAACTGCATGTGAACAAAAAGCAGGGTGGGACACTAATGCTATGTTCACACCAGACACGAAACATGCAGATGAATCATGCTATTCACACGTAAATAGCTGCATAAACATTTGAGTTTACTCGCTTCATTCGCGCGTCAAACCCTGCTTCATTCGCGCATCAAATCTGCTTCATTCGCGTGTCAAATTCACTTCAGAACAGACGCGGATTCGCGTGATGGGCAGGGCTTCTGTCTGCCCGGTGTCTCTAGCTTCATTGCTAAATGGCTAACATGGGTTTTATGAAGAAAATAACAGTGTTTATGTGCTTTATGAAGGCTGAAAAACAGCGTCGACACGTTTAGGGCTGTGTCTGATTCCACAAGATCCTTTCAGAGTTGCATCCAGCTCTGTGAGCTCATAAACTCATCCAGAAACTTAACCTGGATGACAGAGGCTTTCAGCAGTGCTTCTGACTGAGCCGAGCCTACTTAGATGAACTGTTGTCATGGTCGGCTACAGGATTTCCCTCGGGACACCAACAACAGGTGCTGCTTCACAATCACACCCCCACAAGAGCAAGCTCCTGATTGGTTAACACAGCGCAAATGTACGCTCAAGTTCAGATTTTTGAACTCTAGCGATTTGTGCGAAAACGCGCATTAAGCGTGTCAAACGCCCAAAACGCTCAATTCGTGCCGCGCCATTTGCGCATATCGCATCGCAGTCCTTACGTTTATACAACAGTTTGACAGCATACTCGTGTATATAAAAAGAAAATAAAAAACGGAGTGTAAAAACCCTTTTGTAAGAATAACTATTTTCTTCCACAATTCATTCACATCTACAGCTAACATCAGAACAGCAGAAGCCATTACTATTTCACCAACGTCACTTTAGAGCTAGTGTTTGAATGGTTCTCAAGCATAATATCTAAAATGATGAAAAAACAGGTGACTTTACTCACATTTTAAGATTATAAGGTTGAACTTGAAATGAAATGTCATCCGTCTACAGAGATACCTTCTTACAGTGTTACAGTCAACAGTATTTCTTTTTGTAATCGGGATATCACAATTATTAACCCCGAAAAAAGCAGCGCAATCACTACCAGATTGCTGTTGTGTTTGTGATAAGAAAAAACGCTAAACACATGCAGGTTTTTCTTCTCTCTTTCTGCCAACACAACACACATTCCTAACATGAGAGTCCTGTCTCACTAATCATAGCTACCCAGGGGTGCTACAGACTGTACCAAAAAGGGGTTGGGGGTGAAATTACAAGGGTTTTCTGGGAGAAATAACAAAACAGGGAAGGTTGCGGGAGATTGGTCTAAAGTACGCGAGACTCCCAGTAAAAACAGGAGTGTTGGCAGGTATACCAGTTTATTATTGATTTGATTAGCTGTAGTTAGAAATTAGGCTGTTTTTATCTTCTAAGGGCATATTATGCGGTCCTGTCACCATCTTGTGGATGGACAACATCAACTGTCCATGCTAATGGCCACAGACTTGCTGTCTCTCAGAAATTATATATATATATATATATATATATATATATATTAGGGATGTAACGGTATTGTAAATACCGTCATACCGCAATATTAATTTTTTTCGATATTACCGTAGTCGCATGACTCTGTAAAACTATAGGTCTTCTGAGAAAATTTGCTCAGGCGAATGAAGCGAACGGGAGGTAGCGAAAACTACAATTCCCATCAGCCCAGGGGTGGCCATCATCCCTTGCGGTCTGTTGTCACTACAGATACAGTAATGCGGAAATGGAGTGTGCTGCTAGAAGCGGGCATCAAAAAGAGCTGGAAATGATCGAACCTGAAGCGGGTGTTGTCGCCGCACGCGTACTGAATAGCTGTGTTGTCGCGTGCGTTCTGATCAGCTGTGTTGTCGCGCGCGTTCTGATCAGCTGTGTTGCCGCGCGCGTACTGATCAGCTGTGTTGTCGCGCGCGTACTTTGAATAGCGGTGTTGTTGCGCGCCTACTGTAAAGCGGGGGGGGGGGGGGGGGGTTTGGTTGAGCGCGCATACTCAAGAGCGGTGTTGTCGCGCGCCTATTGAAGGGCGGGACGGAGGGTGTGACACAGCACACTGTTCAGATTGATACAGACATGAGACCTCTATCTCACTCATGGCTTGTCCAGTCAAGTGGGGGAAAGACAATGCACAACGTTACCCACTGCTGTCAACCTGGGCCAAGTCATATCTCTCTGTCCCAGAAACCTCAGTCCCAAAGAGAGGGGTTTTTTTCTGTTGCAGGGGACATTGTAAATGCCCAGATATACCAGCTTTTACCAGATTATATTTATATGATAATTTTTCTTAAAACCCATAAGTGAGTGAGTGAGTGAATAAATGTTGAATGTGATGAGTTTTCAACAATACTAAATTAAAACTTTATTTTTTTACATGGTTTAATAATTTTTTGTTATTAAAATTGAAGTTCCTGTTTCAAAGCTTACAGATGGCTAATTTGTATGTCATTGACACTTTTGGCACTTTTTTGCAGTATTTTCATAAGTTTTGTTTTTTCCTGTAAATGATTCAATAAATACCGTACCGTGACATTCATACCGAGGTATTACCGTACCGTGAAATTCTGATACCGTTACATCCCTAATATATATATATATATATATATATATATATATATATATATATATATATATATATATATATATATATATATATATAATATAAATATTTGTCAAATTGTAGAGTGTCCACTGGTTGTTGTGGGTGGAGTAATACATAAGGGTTGAGGGTTGAGAGGCTGGACTAGTGCTGTTATTGCAAAATATCACACGGCTATCAGCCAATATAGAACCATACAGAACTGTTTTTTGGACAGAAGGGATGACAGATGACCACCACCAGTCTCGCCATCCAGGCGCTGGTCACACAGGTATCTGTTAAAACATCTTCATACTGCCGGTGTCCAGCAGACTGTTGCAGCAGCTAACATTAGCCCACCTGTTGTGTCGGATCCTGATCAATCTACTAGATCTTCAGAGCCTCGTCTTCCACCTCCAGCCTTTTTAGCGAAGCCATTTCCTTTTCAAAAGAGCTTAAAAAGTTATTCGATAGAGCCGTGGCGGGCAGAGAGGCGACCTGGATGCTTACAGAGTTGCAGCAGGGGAATCCGTGTATTGCTGACTACTCCATTGAGTTTCGTACTCTGGTGGCAGAGAGCGAATGGAACACGCAGGCGCAGTGGGACATCTTTCTCCACGGGCAAGCGGACCGTATAAGACGAGATCATTGCTCTTAACGTTCCTAAAACTCTGGACGGGCTCATCGATCTGGCTATCCATGTGGATTCTCGTCTACAGCTCAGAGATAGACACACACACGCTCTGGAGAATTCCCCTCTTCCAGCTGTCACTGTACTTCTGGGGCTGATGGACACGCCCCTCTCGGAACCCGAACCCATGCAGATGGGCCGCTCTAGGCTGTCGTTGGAGAAGCGCAGACGGCCTGTGTATGTACTGCACTGGTGCGGGTCACATTGCAGCTCAGTGCCCCGTAAAAAGCCAGAGCCAGTCAGTAGGTAAGAGGTTACTGACAGGTGGGGTATCTTTGGACAAATCCTTTCTTGCAGCCACTTATCTGAAGGTTAATTTGGAGTGGTCATCTGGGAATTTTATAACTCAAGCACTTATGACTCTGCTGCGGAGGGAAATTTTATTGACTCTGTTTTAGTTCAAAAACTTAAACTTTCTGGGATTTCTCTCTCCCATCCTATATCTGTTCATGCTCTCAATGTTTTTTCTTTCCTTTCCATTACTCATTTAACTGGTCCTGTAAGACTGATCACCTCTGGTAACCATTTTGAAATTATATATATTTTTAACAGAAGCTCCTGTCACTCCAGTGGTCCTTGGGCATCCTTGGCTGGTAATGCACAATCCACATATTCAGAGCTTTACATTAACACCCGCCAACCCGCCAAATGAGGATAGATTTCAGCTTTGGCGGCTAAGACAGCCGCTCCCACTAGCCCCACTAGCTCCCACTTTTTACATTGTAGTTTTCTTAAAGCAGGGTTCGACTCGACAATAAGGATGGCTCAATATGCGTGCAAATGTGATCTTAGAATCTAGAAACAGCACGACTGAAAACAACTGTGTTCGCACGAGACAAAGCAGGTGAATAGGCTCGTTTGATGTGTGCCCAGGGCCGGTGCGTCCATAGAGGCGATCAGGCTCCTCAGTTATGTCTGCGACACCTCCCCCGCGTCCTCAGATATATTCGCGCATAGACGATAAAATAGAGAGGGCGGTGTCAGCGTCACCTCCATCAGCACCCACATGTCCTCAGTTATATCCGCGCATAGGGCGGCAGAATTGAGGTCCGCGACACCCGCGCGTCCTCATTATATCCGCGCATAGGGCAGCAGAATAAAGAGCGCAGTGTCCGCGACACCTCCCTCCCTCAGCACTCGCGCGTCCTCAGTTATATCCGCGCATAGGGCAGCAGAATAAAGAGAGCAGTGTCCGCGACACCTCCCTCCCTCCCTCAGCACTCGCGCGTCCTCAGTTATATCCACGCATAGGGCGGCAGAATAGAGAGGGCGGTGTCTGCCAGTCCATGACACCTCCCTCCCTCCCTCCCTCAGCTCCCGCGCGTCCTCAGTTATATCCGCGCATAGAGCGCTGGAAAAGAGTTCCGCGACACCTCACTTCATTTTCATAACCGGTCACTTTCGTTTTCACATTGGGGTTGAGGGTGGCGTGATCGTCCTCTGCCTAGAACGACAGTTCAGCTTGCTCCGGCCCTGGGTGTGCCTCACCCATTAAACGAGAGCAGGCGTCTGCTCGCCTATGGCAAGCCGTTTTAACATTTAATTATTTGTTTTGACTATACATAAATATATTTAGAGA